CTCCCTCTCACCCTCTGCCATTTCCTACCCTCCTATTAAAAGCTGAGTCTGTGATTGTTTGAATGTCAGCAAGAGGGTTAGATATTTGCTACTGGTTTGATAGGGACACACCAAAAGGTATTTCTCCCCTTTCTCAAATGAGGAAGGCAAGGCCAGAGCAGGAATTGACCTTTAGCCCCCAGCCAGAGGGCAGCAGACCTGGTCCTGCTGTATTAGCATGGCTCTGCAGTGACGTGTCCTTTTGAGGACACTTTTTAATAGCTGAAAATATTCTAAACTTTGAGATCAAACACTTTTTTTTTCCCTGATGTCAGGAAAAGGAAGAAAGGAAGAAAGAAAGATCAATTAGAAAGGCTCCTCAGGGCCTGGAGGTGTGTGGTGGTAACTGAGGCCCACTTGGGAAGGTCCTCGTTTGAGTCCTGAGGCCTCCCTGAGCCGGTGGGTGCTCTCATACTCATGGTCCAGGCTGGCTGGTACTGGGGTGGGTTGCAGCGTGAGCACTCTGCTGGGGGTGCCTCTCTCTCTCTCTCTCTCTCTACCTCCCATGGAAGGAATCTATGAACTTAAAACAAGAAGTCCTCTGTATGTAAATGGAAAATTTCAAGTATTTTCTAGTCCAGATTTTAACTTAGTTTACATGTAAGAAGAGAATATGGAATGATTACCTATCAATCACCTTAAATACATAGCACATTTTGTGGTGAGAAATATTTGAAATTTACTTTTTAAGCAATTTTGAAATATAGACTACATTAGTATGAACTATAATCTCCATGCAGAGTAATAGAGCCCAGAGAAATGAGTCCTCTACATCATATGCCTAAATGATGACATTATACTGTACCCCCAAAATATATATACATTTATAATTTGCCAACCAATAAAAAGTAAATTTTAAACAGAGAGATGAAAGCTAAATGAGCTTTTGAACTCAGAATGGTCTCTGTTCTCAAGCCTAAGTCTCTTTCTCCAGCAATTTATGGTCCAAACAAAACAAACTCCAAAGGTAGTATTTCATGACTGTGTAGACAGTTATTTGCAAACATGGATATGTGTCTGGATTACTGGGAAAGTTGGTAAAGAATACAGAGGCCCAGATCTTTGAAATGGGCTTTGGGATGTTTATCACGTACTTCAAGCATGTCTGATACTTACCAAAGTTTGAGAACGACCGATAGACAGGAACAATGATCCTGAAGTTTTTGGCTAATTAGCTGGTTTGCCCATGCTGCCATCTTTTTGCTCTCAGTGGTTCCTCTGACAACCAGTAAGGAGGAAGCCAGTAAAGAGCTGCAGAATTAGCTACTACTGGGGATGGCTGACTGGAGCCCCACCGAGGCACGCCACTGCAGTTTTCTCCCATTTCAAAGTAGCCACACAGGGAAGAGCCAAGGCTCACCTGTGGCTGAAAGGCATCACTGTGAGGAAAGAACTCAAGGAGAAAACTAGAGAGGCAAGACATTTATGAGACACAGAGATGGATTATTATCTGTTGATGACAACGTGTATAGAATCCTCAACTGGACTGTTGTGAAGTATATTCATGGTGGATAAATTCACTTTACAAGCTAGGTGATGTACAGTGATTGAATGTATAAACTAAATGAAAATTTTTAGAAAAAAACGTAAAAAGGAAAAGAACACATAGATAATGAGCTTTCCTTTATGCCACCAACCATTCAGCAAATACAATGGAAAAACATCTCATTGCATTCTTAATGACATCAAGTATCAAACAGAATAAAATTTAAATGAAAAAACTTTCAAATATTTAACCTCAAGATCATTACAAGTAATAACCCAAAGGCACATTCTTGAAACTTGATGAAATGGTTTTAATCTTTATCCCAAAAGATAAATAACCAAGAATATACTTTACCAAGTGAAATATTGTGGAAACACTCTTACTATCAGGTGATAAAAATCAATGTATGATAAGCATGTATTTCAAATTCATGGGGAGATTGTTTTTTTTCTTTCTTTTTTTTTTTTTTTTTTTTTTTTTAGGCTTTTGCCACAGGGCACGCGTGCACACCAGAGACACAGAGAGAGAAAGTGAGAAATCATTCCCCTGGGAAGGATGGCCATGCACAATCCCTTCTCTTCAGCTGTGGGAGTCCAGCGGCTTAACCACCATGCCATCTGCTGACCCCAAGAGATTGACTTTTTTAATGAATCACACTGGCATTGCAATCTAAAGAATAATAACAAAATGAAAATAAACCATTGCCTGCAGTTTGTAAAGGATTAATTTTTTTTTGGGTGAGTTGGAAACCTCTGCCATCTCATTCACCTGGAGAGGAGAAGGGCAGTTGCTAGAGAGTCTGGGGTTTGTACTTAAGGGAGCTGCAGCTAAAGCCCTAGTTAGCACTGCCACTTAATTGGTGGAGAGAATGCTGGCTAAGCCAATCGGCTAGGCCAAAGAGCATGGACTGGATTGCCTGTTTCCTATTTTGTAAAACACGACAGTAACAGTGCCCACCTTGTATGTTATCATGAATATTAAATACAATGGTATTTCAAGCTTCTGGAACAGAGTAAGCTCTCACAATTGGTACCAAGATCCCTCTACTTTCATGCTTCACCATGTTTTTGCATCCACAGAGTTCTCATATTTTCATGAGATGTATGTAGACCTTCAGATGGCTTTTGAACATCTGTGGCTCATCCTGGGGTCTTTACAGGCTTGAAGACGTGAGGGCAGGTGGGAAGCATGACAAGGACTTGGCCCCAGGCCCTGAAGTGGTGACAGATGAGCCAATGTTCACATTGGAGCTTATGTTTGCTCTTCAATTATAGTGCTTTCCCCAGACATCAACCTAAACACAGTGTGGCCAAAGCTTCCATTTTAAGACCGTAATTGGCAAGTTTGGTCCTGAAACCCTATCATAACTTTTCCCAGAAATTGCAGTGTACTCAATATCTAAAAATATGCAGCCTCATTTGGTCGTGTTGCAAAAATGCCACTTGTATTGACCACGAAAATAGCAACTTGTGGATGATGCTTAAGAAAATGAAAGCCCAGAGTCTCTGGCAGGCAAGCCGGGTCTCCAGTTCAGAAAGACACAGTTGCTGATTCCAAGGATGGTACCCAGAGCTCCAGGACTGTGGATGCAAAAACATGATGACACGTGAAAGTTGGGGAAATCTTGGTAACAACCATGAGAGCTGCTATTTGCCAGGAGCCTGCAGTACTCTTACAATTAATATTCATCTTCCAAGAGGAAGCTGAACCCATGTGAAATCCAGTTACATTATTTAGTGACTTCTCTAGATGAATCTTTTCTTTTCTTCTTCTTTTTTTTTTAATTAAAAAAATATATAGTGATGTAGTGTGGACTGCAGCTTGTATCTCCCTCTAAATTTCTATGCCTGATGCAGCAGCATTAGGAAGTGACCCAGAGCTCCAGGACTGTGGATGCAAAAACATGATGACACGTGAAAGTTGGGGAAATCTTGGTAACAACCATGAGAGCTGCTATTTGCCAGGAGCCTGCAGTACTCTTACAATTAATATTCATCTTCCAAGAGGAAGCTGAACCCATGTGAAATCCAGTTACATTATTTAGTGACTTCTCTAGATGAATCTTTTCTTTTCTTCTTCTTTTTTTTTTTAATTAAAAAAATATATAGTGATGTAGTGTGGACTGCAGCTTGTATCTCCCTCTAAATTTCTATGCCTGATGCAGCAGCATTAGGAAGTGGGGCTTTTGGGAGGCAATTAAATCCTGAGGGTGGAGCCCACATGGTGGCCTTAGTACCTTTCTAAAAAGAGGCATGAGAGCTTTCTGCTCTCTCTCTCTGGCTCTCTGCCAAAGTTGCCAATTGTAGGCCAAGAAGATGGTCCTTAGCAAAAACCCAGTCATGCTGACACCCTAAGTTTGAACATCCAACTTTTAGACTGTTGAAAAATAAATAGTTGTTGTTTAAGTTACACAGTCTACCCTGTTATAGCAGCCCAAGCAGGAACATGGCATGTGCTGAGCCAGCCATGTCCCATGTACAGGACTTGGGAGGCAGCACCAGGGAGCAATTGAATGGTTCAGGCTCTGTAGTTACAGAGACAGTTCCCACTCCATTCCACTACCTGGGAGCAGTGCACTATTGGGCAAGTCATTTTCAACTCTCTGTGTCTCATTTTCTTCATCTTTAAATGAAGATGAGGTTGTATTATCTGGGGCTTTGTGGGAAACATGTTCTGAGATGGCAATTTGTATGCAGAAAGTTTGGTGGAGAGTGCTCTTGGGACTAACACTGGTAAGGAATTATGAGGCAGGAAGGGGCAGAGGAATGAGAACTTCAATGTAAATCAAACAGCTGTCCACTGATTCTCCTGTGAGCTCAGAGGCTGTGCTGGCCTATTAGAGTTGCCTATTTGAGGGCAAGGAGCAGAGCCATTGTCTACCAATGTGGGCTCATTTGTGGATGCAGTCAGTTCCTGGGGATAGAAGGTAGTTCTGTTAGACCAAGAGCAATTCTTGGAGAGGAACTTAGTCTGGAGCCGCTAGCCATCAACCTCCCAACAGTTCGGGAACTGAAAACCTCAGTCTTGGAGGGGGACCTGGGCAGCATACCACAGTGTCTACTATAGACAGCAACACGCTTAGGAGGATTCAGTGATATAATGTCTCTGAAGATCGAAGCATAGTACCACATGGTATACCTGAGCTGTCTATTATCATCATTATTACCTGGTGTTATGCTAACTATTGCATTGTAACTGCTTTTCTTTTCTGCCCAACTTCTCTTCTATTCTACTATGAACTATTTAATAGAAATAGTCATTTCCATTTTTTTTTAACCTTTGCATCTCTAGACTTGAGCACAGAGCTTGGCTCACAGAAAACTTACTAAATAGTCATTCAATGGAGAGATAAAGGCATAGAGTCACCCGAGGAGAACACCCCTGAGCTACCTTTGGAGACTTGGGGTAGCACTTAGCTGTTTTCATTATGCACCAGGCGATAACTGCACCTAAGTGTCCCTGATTTTTCTTCTAGTTTCTCTGGACTCATGGCAGTCTCTGGCCCTCTCTTCAGTGGCCATTGACCCAACCATCAGAAACTTTGATGTTGCTCACATCAGCACAAATGCCATCAGCAACTTCTCTGCTGCTCAAGACCTCTGCCTGTTGGGTAAGGGGAATTTTCACTGCCCAGATAGGGCAGGACAGGGCCCCATAAAAGATTCTGACCTCAAAAACACATATGAGAGTCCACGATAATTTTGGGTGCTTGACAGAAAGGAATTATCCTAGGCGAGAAGAGATGGTGGAGTCTTCTCACCTCCCACACAGCAGCCCATCGTCAGTGTCTCCAAAGGAATGCACCAACTGCAAATGGGAAATACTAAGCTAAGTCAGAAAAAGACAGGAAGGATCGAGATTAGTCTGAGATGTGTGGAAGCACTGATGGCTGTCCTCAGATAACAGGTGGACCATCAGGTGAGGAGGAGGTACAGTTGTTCTGACCAGGTTCATGGGGCAAAGTTAAAGACTTACTGGTACAATTCAAACTTCAAGAGAAATTTTAAAATACAATATGAAGAACTTTCTAATAATTTGTAAAGCTGTTCACAGGTGTACACTTCTTTAGTTTTCAGGTTTTGGTGGTTTTCAAACAAGAACTAGGTGATCACTGATAGGAATGTTCTACAAAGACTTTTAGCTTCTGAGGAGTTGAGGTCAGATAATAGTCATACCCTTCCAAGATTCTGCACCCCTCTGAAGATTTCATAAATCTCCTGAATCTTCTCTTCTGAAAGATTGTATGAGAGGATGTGCAAAGCCATGCTTATCCCAGAGTCAGTGTGTACAGATGTATAGGCTGTTCACTGTGCTACTCTGGATTGTGCCATTCACAGAGACTGGGATATGAATAAGGCCTTTAGGTTGCCCAACCAAATGAAGCAGCACTGTTTTCAGAGCTGCTCTTGTGCCAAATGTCATGAAATACTGTAAATTGTCTAATGCGTGCATGGGAAAGTACATGATCCCTGGTGGACCTCTTACCTTGGGCTATAATGCTGGCTGAGGAGACAGTGGAGTGGAACAGAGAAAGACAAGGCTAAAGAGGAAGGAAGGGCTAGGGATCAAGGGTCTTAATGACTTATGACTTAATCCTAAAACCCATGGGAACCGTGTTGCCATGTTGGTATTTTAAAGTAGGTAAAGGACATATTTGTGAAAGAAAATAAGCAAAAACAACCCTGAATATTGTATGGAAAATAGATTGATGGGAAGGTTGGGTTTCCCACTGCCACCTTTTTATTCTCATTCCCTGGCACAGTGTTTGGGATTTCAAGTAGGTGCTCAAATGAGTGAGACATCATATGATGGGTGGATTGACAAACACATGGACAGATGGATAAATGGAAGAATAAATGCATGGATGCATGGATTTATGGATGCGTGGGTGGAAGTACAGATGAGTAGATAGATGGAGGGTAGACGGGTGGATGGATGATGAATGGATGAACACACAATTGCTTGCATGAGGTATTATCTCAGGCTTATGCTTCATTTTTTGTTTCCCTGTCCTCTACAGAATGTTCCCGTCACCAGGCCTGCCGTGTTACTACTCTTCAGACCCGACCTGGCGCTGTGAGGTGTATGTTCTATGCTGATACCCAAAGCTGCACACATAGCCTGCAGGGCCAGAACTGTCAACTTCTGCTCCGTGAAGAGGCCACTCACATCTACCGGAAGCCAGGTAAGCCCAGGCTTATGCTTTTGTGGCCATTCCTGGGAAACTGTGTATGGCTGGTAGAAACTGTTCAAGCACATAGTGAATTGGTGGACAGTGCCTTTGAAATACTTAAGGCCTGGCCTGAATGCTCAGCTGAGGTAAACTGAAAGAAGGTAGGAAAAACTCCTACTTCACTATCATTTTTATTAATTTATTCATGAGTTACAGAAGCCATTTAGGTCTTTGTTTTATTAGGAAAATAATTAAATAGGTCACTTTTTATTCTTATATTGTATAATAGGAAGTTCTTTCACATGTTTTATCTCATTTGGTCCTCGCACTAACCCCGTGACATGGCACAATAGGGTCTTTACCCTTATATTAGAGATCAAGGGATTATAGCCCAACTTGTGTCTGATTTCACAAAGCTAGCCATGACAGAGTGGGAACATGAAGCCATGTCACTTATCTATTTTTTTTTTAAGATATTTTTGCTAGAAGCTACAAGGTCACGACAGTAACAGTGCCCACCTTGTATGTTATCATGAATATTAAATACAATGGTATTTCAAGCTTCTGGAACAGAGTAAGCTCTCACAATTGGTACCAAGATCCCTCTACTTTCATGCTTCACCATGTTTTTGCATCCACAGAGTTCTCATATTTTCATGAGATGTATGTAGACCTTCAGATGGCTTTTGAACATCTGTGGCTCATCCTGGGGTCTTTACAGGCTTGAAGACGTGAGGGCAGGTGGGAAGCATGACAAGGACTTGGCCCCAGGCCCTGAAGTGGTGACAGATGAGCCAATGTTCACATTGGAGCTTATGTTTGCTCTTCAATTATAGTGCTTTCCCCAGACATCAACCTAAACACAGTGTGGCCAAAGCTTCCATTTTAAGACCGTAATTGGCAAGTTTGGTCCTGAAACCCTATCATAACTTTTCCCAGAAATTGCAGTGTACTCAATATCTAAAAATATGCAGCCTCATTTGGTCGTGTTGCAAAAATGCCACTTGTATTGACCACGAAAATAGCAACTTGTGGATGATGCTTAAGAAAATGAAAGCCCAGAGTCTCTGGCAGGCAAGCCGGGTCTCCAGTTCAGAAAGACACAGTTGCTGATTCCAAGGATGGTACCCAGAGCTCCAGGACTGTGGATGCAAAAACATGATGACACGTGAAAGTTGGGGAAATCTTGGTAACAACCATGAGAGCTGCTATTTGCCAGGAGCCTGCAGTACTCTTACAATTAATATTCATCTTCCAAGAGGAAGCTGAACCCATGTGAAATCCAGTTACATTATTTAGTGACTTCTCTAGATGAATCTTTTCTTTTCTTCTTCTTTTTTTTTTAATTAAAAAAATATATAGTGATGTAGTGTGGACTGCAGCTTGTATCTCCCTCTAAATTTCTATGCCTGATGCAGCAGCATTAGGAAGTGGGGCTTTTGGGAGGCAATTAAATCCTGAGGGTGGAGCCCACATGGTGGCCTTAGTACCTTTCTAAAAAGAGGCATGAGAGCTTTCTGCTCTCTCTCTCTGGCTCTCTGCCAAAGTTGCCAATTGTAGGCCAAGAAGATGGTCCTTAGCAAAAACCCAGTCATGCTGACACCCTAAGTTTGAACATCCAACTTTTAGACTGTTGAAAAATAAATAGTTGTTGTTTAAGTTACACAGTCTACCCTGTTATAGCAGCCCAAGCAGGAACATGGCATGTGCTGAGCCAGCCATGTCCCATGTACAGGACTTGGGAGGCAGCACCAGGGAGCAATTGAATGGTTCAGGCTCTGTAGTTACAGAGACAGTTCCCACTCCATTCCACTACCTGGGAGCAGTGCACTATTGGGCAAGTCATTTTCAACTCTCTGTGTCTCATTTTCTTCATCTTTAAATGAAGATGAGGTTGTATTATCTGGGGCTTTGTGGGAAACATGTTCTGAGATGGCAATTTGTATGCAGAAAGTTTGGTGGAGAGTGCTCTTGGGACTAACACTGGTAAGGAATTATGAGGCAGGAAGGGGCAGAGGAATGAGAACTTCAATGTAAATCAAACAGCTGTCCACTGATTCTCCTGTGAGCTCAGAGGCTGTGCTGGCCTATTAGAGTTGCCTATTTGAGGGCAAGGAGCAGAGCCATTGTCTACCAATGTGGGCTCATTTGTGGATGCAGTCAGTTCCTGGGGATAGAAGGTAGTTCTGTTAGACCAAGAGCAATTCTTGGAGAGGAACTTAGTCTGGAGCCGCTAGCCATCAACCTCCCAACAGTTCGGGAACTGAAAACCTCAGTCTTGGAGGGGGACCTGGGCAGCATACCACAGTGTCTACTATAGACAGCAACACGCTTAGGAGGATTCAGTGATATAATGTCTCTGAAGATCGAAGCATAGTACCACATGGTATACCTGAGCTGTCTATTATCATCATTATTACCTGGTGTTATGCTAACTATTGCATTGTAACTGCTTTTCTTTTCTGCCCAACTTCTCTTCTATTCTACTATGAACTATTTAATAGAAATAGTCATTTCCATTTTTTTTTAACCTTTGCATCTCTAGACTTGAGCACAGAGCTTGGCTCACAGAAAACTTACTAAATAGTCATTCAATGGAGAGATAAAGGCATAGAGTCACCCGAGGAGAACACCCCTGAGCTACCTTTGGAGACTTGGGGTAGCACTTAGCTGTTTTCATTATGCACCAGGCGATAACTGCACCTAAGTGTCCCTGATTTTTCTTCTAGTTTCTCTGGACTCGTGGCAGTCTCTGGCCCTCTCTTCAGTGGCCATTGACCCAACCATCAGAAACTTTGATGTTGCTCACATCAGCACAAATGCCATCAGCAACTTCTCTGCTGCTCAAGACCTCTGCCTGTTGGGTAAGGGGAATTTTCACTGCCCAGATAGGGCAGGACAGGGCCCCATAAAAGATTCTGACCTCAAAAACACATATGAGAGTCCACGATAATTTTGGGTGCTTGACAGAAAGGAATTATCCTAGGCGAGAAGAGATGGTGGAGTCTTCTCACCTCCCACACAGCAGCCCATCGTCAGTGTCTCCAAAGGAATGCACCAACTGCAAATGGGAAATACTAAGCTAAGTCAGAAAAAGACAGGAAGGATCGAGAAGGTTAGTCTGAGATGTGTGGAAGCACTGATGGCTGTCCTCAGATAACAGGTGGACCATCAGGTGAGGAGGAGGTACAGTTGTTCTGACCAGGTTCATGGGGCAAAGTTAAAGACTTACTGGTACAATTCAAACTTCAAGAGAAATTTTAAAATACAATATGAAGAACTTTCTAATAATTTGTAAAGCTGTTCACAGGTGTACACTTCTTTAGTTTTCAGGTTTTGGTGGTTTTCAAACAAGAACTAGGTGATCACTGATAGGAATGTTCTACAAAGACTTTTAGCTTCTGAGGAGTTGAGGTCAGATAATAGTCATACCCTTCCAAGATTCTGCACCCCTCTGAAGATTTCATAAATCTCCTGAATCTTCTCTTCTGAAAGATTGTATGAGAGGATGTGCAAAGCCATGCTTATCCCAGAGTCAGTGTGTACAGATGTATAGGCTGTTCACTGTGCTACTCTGGATTGTGCCATTCACAGAGACTGGGATATGAATAAGGCCTTTAGGTTGCCCAACCAAATGAAGCAGCACTGTTTTCAGAGCTGCTCTTGTGCCAAATGTCATGAAATACTGTAAATTGTCTAATGCGTGCATGGGAAAGTACATGATCCCTGGTGGACCTCTTACCTTGGGCTATAATGCTGGCTGAGGAGACAGTGGAGTGGAACAGAGAAAGACAAGGCTAAAGAGGAAGGAAGGGCTAGGGATCAAGGGTCTTAATGACTTATGACTTAATCCTAAAACCCATGGGAACCGTGTTGCCATGTTGGTATTTTAAAGTAGGTAAAGGACATATTTGTGAAAGAAAATAAGCAAAAACAACCCTGAATATTGTATGGAAAATAGATTGATGGGAAGGTTGGGTTTCCCACTGCCACCTTTTTATTCTCATTCCCTGGCACAGTGTTTGGGATTTCAAGTAGGTGCTCAAATGAGTGAGACATCATATGATGGGTGGATTGACAAACACATGGACAGATGGATAAATGGAAGAATAAATGCATGGATGCATGGATTTATGGATGCGTGGGTGGAAGTACAGATGAGTAGATAGATGGAGGGTAGACGGGTGGATGGATGATGAATGGATGAACACACAATTGCTTGCATGAGGTATTATCTCAGGCTTATGCTTCATTTTTTGTTTCCCTGTCCTCTACAGAATGTTCCCGTCACCAGGCCTGCCGTGTTACTACTCTTCAGACCCGACCTGGCGCTGTGAGGTGTATGTTCTATGCTGATACCCAAAGCTGCACACATAGCCTGCAGGGCCAGAACTGTCAACTTCTGCTCCGTGAAGAGGCCACTCACATCTACCGGAAGCCAGGTAAGCCCAGGCTTATGCTTTTGTGGCCATTCCTGGGAAACTGTGTATGGCTGGTAGAAACTGTTCAAGCACATAGTGAATTGGTGGACAGTGCCTTTGAAATACTTAAGGCCTGGCCTGAATGCTCAGCTGAGGTAAACTGAAAGAAGGTAGGAAAAACTCCTACTTCACTATCATTTTTATTAATTTATTCATGAGTTACAGAAGCCATTTAGGTCTTTGTTTTATTAGGAAAATAATTAAATAGGTCACTTTTTATTCTTATATTGTATAATAGGAAGTTCTTTCACATGTTTTATCTCATTTGGTCCTCGCACTAACCCCGTGACATGGCAGGATAGGGTCTTTACCCTTATATTAGAGATCAAGGGATTATAGCCCAACTTGTGTCTGATTTCACAAAGCTAGCCATGACAGAGTGGGAACATGAAGCCATGTCACTTATCTATTTTTTTTTAAGATATTTTTGCTAGAAGCTACAAGGTCTGGTGCTTGAACCACGGTTGACTACCATAGGAGTCCAACGACGTAACCATTATGTCATCTGCTGGTCCCTCACATCTCTTATCTTAAGATGCGATCATCTCCCACAAACCCACGCTGCCTAACTACGACAACACAGACACTTGGGAGAAGGAAGCTGTTCTCAGGCTGAGTTTAGTATAAAAACATATGTCATATGGGTGCTGAGGATACAAGGATGAGGCAGATAAGGGGAGAGGAGCATATAAACCCATCACTAAATACAGCTGGTAAGAGCTATTGAACAGGAAACACAGGAGCTGGGGGACCTGGGGGATGCTCCTCTCCCGTTAGACATGTTGATTAGATGAAATTAATGACTGTTACGGTGTTGGATACATCTACCATCTTGTCTCCTAAAGCAGAGGTCATGAAATTTCTCTGTAAGGTATGGGGCCTGTCAGGACCAGTAGTTGGCATAACGGCTATGTCACTGGACTCCCATGTAGTCGACTGTAGTCCGAGTCCCAGATCCAGTGGCTTAAACTCACTCCAGGCACGTGTGCGTGCGTGCCCAAGATCCCGAGAGGAGAATGGAGGAGAAGGGATTGCAGCGTGGCCATCCCCCTGGGGGGGTGATTTCTCACTTTCTATCTCTCTGTCTCTCTCTCTTTTTCTGGTGAGCGCTCGTACCCTATAGCAAAAACCTCTCAAAAAAAAAAAAGGGTATGGGGCCTGTGTGATAAATGTTTTCACTCTACAACTGTACATATCTGTTACAAGCGCTCAACTGTCACTGCAGCGTGAAAGCAGTGATAACAGTGTGCAAGCCAATGGGTGTGGAAATGTTCCAGCAAAATTTCCTTTATAAAACCACATAGCAGCTGGATTTGGCCCCACCCCCTTCTAAATCATTGACAGTTCTTCAGTATCTCCATACCAACGATACCATCCTCTTCTGTCCCCCCGCTCTACCTCAGCCTCAGACTGTGAGAATTTTTGATTATTCGGGGGTTTTGTGCCCCTAATCCCAGGCCTGGGAATGTTCCTATTCCTAGATTCTGAAGTCTTGGGCCCTTAATCTTAAGTTTTGTCTGTCTGTTGTCTAGCGACATTTATGATGTTTAGCCAAGCTATTCAGTTGTCGGAAAAGTCATGACGTATTTTGTTTTAAGGAGAAATACGTCATGACTTTTCCATTGACCCAGTAGGTAGATTTTAATAGTACATTTCACCAATAGCATAGCTAATCTGTGTTGGTAGTTCTGCCAAGAAATGCTGTAACATTGAGGTTTCAATTCTGTAAAACAATAAAGCCACTTCCTATTAATTTAGTGTGACTAAAATTCAATGTGAATTGCTCACTCCCTAAAGAAGAGGCATGTGCACTTGCACCTAGCAGAGACATGATTTACAGCTCTGCACACAGCACAGATCCCTCTCCTTAACCCAGCCAGTCACGTGGCCTAACGACGTGGGTTCTTTGGAAAGAATGCACTCTTTCTGCACACTTATTCTAACGGGAGAACTGTCCTTCCTCCGGTTTCCCATGTTTGAACTCCTTTAGTCTGGGATCCACTGGACAGTCTCTGAACAGAGGACCGAATGCCACTGTCTATGAGAAAAGGCTTGCATTCCCTCGAAATCCTTCAGTTCTGTACTTTCCTGCTTTGCTCCCACCTTCGGATGACGTCATGGCGGTGAAACGTGGCTGTTTCCTGCATAGCAAGAGAAGGCTCTGCCACTTGAGCAGCTGCAGTGCTGAGTGTTTGCCCAAGACCCTTTGATTTATGACTGTAACGGGAAATCTTGTGAGAAGAAACTGGAGGGTGGGGGGGTGGATGCATCAGTCATGATTCGTGATCGAGGCTAGATAAAAAAACAGCAACCGTTTCTTTCCACCTCGAGTTTCCATCTTCAGTACTAATTCGGACTCCAATGTTTTCGTAGCAGAAAAAGCTTCATCTACTCTTTCTTCTTTCTTTCTTTCCCTTCTTTCTCCTCCCCTCCATCTTTCCATTTCTTCCACTCATCCATCCATCCATATGTTGAACTCCTGTCATTTCCCAGGCTTGGACTTGTAACATTCCAGGATTGTTATTTATTCCTGAAGGTATTGTATTGTAGCGGCTACTATCATTCCTATTTCACAGGTAGGAGAATTGAGGGTCAGAAAAATTATGAAATTGTCCTCAGTTTTAGCTATTCTTCATGCATTGGGTCATCAGGAAAGTCATGACGTATTTTTCTATACAAAAATCTGTCATGACTTTCCTGATGAGGTGATAAAACACAGGTTCGTTTGACTTCTCGGACCATCTCTTGTTTCACCTCACCATGCTGGCCCCGGTACCCTGAAAGTCATGAACAGCGAGTGAGGCTTGCTCAACCTCGGCACCTGCTGACATTTAGCGCCAGAGAGTTCTTTTGGGTGGAGGAGGGCCTGTCCCCTCTAGGATGTCTGACAACACTTCGGGTAATTCCCACTAGATGCCGGTTACATTGTTCTCTTCACTCCTGTGACAACCAAAAATGCCCCTTGAGGACAAAATCCCTTCTGGCTGAGAAACTCTGCATTATACCAAGCTCTTCAGGAGTGAACACGCCTCTGTCTGCTCCTCTCCCACACTTCTGTTAAGTCATCACTGTAATACACAGTATATCCGGTTGACCCTTGAACAACATGGGTTTGAACTATGTGGGTTCACTTGCATGTGGATTGTTTTCAGTAAATATATTGGAAAATATAGTAAGTACTGTAAAGTGCATTTTTTTCCTTACGATTTTTTAAATAACATTTTCTTTGGTGTACTTTACTGTAAAAATACAGCATATAACATGTTACTTGTAAAATATGTGTAAGTGGATTGTTTATGTTATTTATAAGGCTTCTAGTCAACCGTAGAGTTCAGAAAGGTTTAGCTTTGAATCTTGCATCACTGTGTGTTTTCTTTTAGGTTTCTGTTATAAGTGCTTGCACTTGCCAGGGAGGAGAGAGACAGAGAGGGAAAGTGAGAAGTACCCCCTTGGGGGGATGGCCATGCTGCAATCATTTCTCCTCTATTCTCTTGGCATGGGCATGCACACACATTTACCTGGTGTGATTTTCAAGGCACTGGGTCCGGGACTCAAACCGTAGTCAGCCATGTGGGAATCTAGCCTCCTCAACCACCCCTCCACCTGCTGGCACCATCTGTATATTTTTATAGAAGGTGTTGCAGAGAAAACAGGAAGTTTTGTCTTTCAATCAGTGAGAGTAGAGTGGAGTAGACCAAACTCACCTGTTAGAAACAGTAACTGACTCCACACACACACACGTGCATGTACACACACACACACACACACACACACACACACAGACACACACACACACACACACACGGCATCTCTTCGTGAGTGTTTATTGCTTCCTCTGCAAGGGCCCAAGTCTTGTAAGGAACCAGACATGGGCCTGTCTCAAGTCCCTGACAATGGTACTTGGCTCTGAGCACTGGCCCAGCAAAAGTTTATAGAATCAATGAATGGATGAAGGAAAATATAGCAGAGGAAATGAGACAGGGCTACAGATAGGTTGATAAATGTCGCTGGTGATTAGCATCCAGGAGGGGCAGGGAGGGCGGTGGAGCAGGAGCAGAGAGAGGTACCCATTAGCACCAGCCTCAGCCTCATGGACCAGGTGGGGTCAGGATGTGAACACAGGAGCAGCTCAGCCCTGTGGCAGCAGAGGCACAGAGAGGGTAAAGCTGAGATGCCCAGGCCCTGGTGAACAGGATGCCATCAGCATTGGGGTTCAGAAACGTGCAGCTTTGAACTCCACACCACTTTGTGGTCCTGATGGGCTGCCCAACCTCCGCCCCAGACAGATTTCCTCACTAATACCAGGCCTATAATCCCTCCCCAGCAATTCTGAAATCCACAAGTTCTAAAGAGGTTTTTCTTTTCTTTAGTTTTGTTTTGCTGATAAGTTTGTAGCAAACTCATTAGGTGGCAAAATATGACTTGAAGTGATTGAAGAAACTATGTTCTTTATTCATCCCTCTTAGTATGAAAACCCACACATGGAACCAGAGTAATAAACGATGTGTTTACCCTGGACTCTACTGCTGACCTTCTTGTAGGGTTGAGTTGTTTTCGTTGGGTGATTTTGAAAGCCCCCAGGGTGCATGGTAAGGGGCTGGGGGCCTGGGTCAGCACCTGCCGTGGGGCCGACTGGGAAGAATCCATCCTCCAGTACATGGGCAGGAGGATCGGCAGTGCACTGGGCATGTAACTGGTGCCTCTTCAAATCGGCAGTCTGTGCTATGATTACTACTGTTATTTTCTAAATTTACATACTTGTTTTATCCATGAGTAAGAGAAACAGAGGTAGAGACAAAGACAAGATACAGAGACAGCACCTCCCAGAGAGTCTTCACACTGCTATCCACCCCCAGGCTAAGCCAGCCCTGGCTCCTGGGCACGTGCATACCTGGCCCAATTAGGGAGGTCCCCAGATGTGAATTCGAAACCTTCCCATGTGGATTGGCCTCACAGAACATTGCATTTTACCACTGCTTCACCATCGGATCCCTATTACTATTATCTAATTCACATTGAAAAATAAATTGGTAGACATGAGCAATGGGGGTCTGGATGAATTGCTGGCGATTTTTAGGTGTGAACAGTAGTGGTTTTTTTTGTTTTCTTTTGTTTAAGGTGTATTCAAAATACCAGTCAACAGAGCACTCACTGCCTCCCTTCCCTCCCCAATAGGCGCGTCCCTGCCCAGTTTGGAGGGATCCACACCTGTTGTGCCCATTGCTACCCATGGCCAGCTGCTGGGTAGGTCCCAGGCCATCCAGGTTGGCACTTCCTGGAAGCAAGTGGACCAGTTTCTTGGAGTTCCATATGCAGCTCCACCCCTGGGAGAGAACCGCTTCCGGGCGCCAGAGCCCTCGAACTGGACAGGGTCCTGGGATGCCACCAAGCCAAGGTATGGGTTGAGTGGAAGACATTTCGGTGAATGCCCAGAAAAGCCCTCTGCCAATTTAATCCATTAAAGTGAGATTCTGTAGCAGAGCAGTGAGTTCTGACTTGAGCACTCTATGGAGGTGAGGGATGTATTAGTTAGGGTAGTGTTAATTGCTATAGCAGATAAACCCTCAGGTACCTGTGACTTATCACTGTTTAGCTCAGGTGAAGACTGCCTGTTATAGAGGGTCCATGTGCTTTTACTCCATGCAGTGATTCAGGGACCCAGGCTGATGGGGGCTCTACATTCTTCAGCATGAATCTTCCAAGGTCCCACTGGACATTGCATTGAGGAGACTGTGGAAGAATCTACAAGGAGCCTCCTGTGGGTCAGGCCTGGAAGTGGGGTATATAAAGCACTTTCACAATATAGCAGTAGCCGAACTAAATCTTCTGGCCACATCTGACTTTAATAGAGCTGAGAAGTGTAGCATTGAAGGAAAAGTAAATGAGTAATGAAAAAAATTAAGAACTTTTTTTTTCCTAATAGGGACAATATCCTATTTTCTTCTCTCATAAAAATTTTCAGTGTTGCCCACTCCCTTCCATGCATGTACCACTTTAGACAGAGAGATATATTGGGCAAGTTTGTAAATTTTTCCGAAATACTATGCAAAGAGTGTCCTTGCCCTGGCCACCTGCACTTCCCTTCTGATGGGCATCCTGTGGCTCTGTCCTCAGGCAGCTGTATCCTCTATGTCCGTCACCACCATGGCTGGCTGCTAAGCAGGTCTCAGGCCCATGGCCAGGTACAATGTGAGACTCCTGAAGTTTTCCAGGAAAAGGATGAGGAAGGCTTCCACTAGAGCAGTGGTGTGGAAATGAATGCAGAAAGATGTGGGTTTAAGTCCACTCCACCGCTGGGAAGTGAGAAGAACAAGCACGCACTAATTAGAGCATCTTAGCATGTTGGGATATACCCATGCAACAGTCGAGGTGATCCAGTCACATTAGCATGTGGAGAGGGTATTAGATTGGAGAACTTGGGTCATTGTGGCTCAGGCTTGGTAAGGCTTAGGTGGTGAGTTCATTAGTTTTGTGGGCCCATTACCATTATGCTGCCATTCACATGGTCCCAGATGTGGCAGTAGGTCTGATACCAAGGAATGCCCAAACTGGCCTCCTGGCACTCTGCACTGGTACAGAAAGCAGGTCAAACACCTCATCCCTTCAAAGGTCTGTTCACTTAGAACAAGGAAGGGCCAAGGTTTCCAGCCACAGTCACATCCTCCTCCTTTACCTTGGGTCGTTGGGTCAGCACCCTTCTCTCTAGTGGCCAGCGAGAGAGATGAGCACCCTGTTGTTCTGTCCACTCAGTGGCCACTGTCATTTCCCAAAGCTGCCTAACTGCCGCAGAGCTGCTGGGATGCCAGGCTTTTGGAACAGGGCAGTGAGCTCTGGCTATGGGCAGCAGACAGGGAGGGAGGATGGGGATGTCCCCTTGGCTGTTTCTCCTGGCAGTCATGAAGTCTGTCTCTGCAGGATCAGCTGCTGGCAGCCTGGCTCCCAAGTACTCACATCTCCCAGAGTCAGTGAAGATTGCTTGTACCTCGATGTGTTTGTCCCTGAGAATGTGGTGAGTTGGGAAGCGCTAGCTCTACCTGCCCTGAACGTCCCCCCATTTGTAATCCCCCCAGCAGTAATCCTCACAGCTGCTTGCACCAACCTCTTTCCTCCTCAGAGGTCTGCTGGCCACGTGCCCTCCTGTACCTCTGGGCTGGCCTGAGCCCGTGAAGGCCTGAATGGCTGAGGGTGAGCATAGGGCCTCTTGATTCCCCCATGGCCTCATCTGATCTTCCCTACATCCTCCTTCACCATACCATCTGGGGTGAACCATGCATCCTTATCCCCCACTTGGTCCTCTAGGGAATATTCATGAAGGGCCTCTGATGGCCTGGCACCAGGGTAGGGGGAGCCCAGCCATGAAGAAAATAGAGTTGGTATCATTGGAGGGGCAAAAATATACAGATAAGCACATAAATATTGACTAAGTTATGGCATTAATAAGATTCTGAAGACAAGTCAGCAGGGTGGTGAGCTAGACAAGGGAAGGAGGTGTGCAGTGGGATGGCCAGGAGGTGAGGCTTGGGCAGGGCTGTGGAGGAGGGAGGGTGCTGAGGTTTGCAGGTGAACGAGGGCCAGCAATGAAGACTAGAATCTCAGAAAAGGCCATAGGCTGGGGGAGAGGGACATGGATCCAAAGGAGACTGTACTTGTGACAGTGGAATGCTCTCCTTGGAAGGCCCTTGAGCATTTGTGGAGTTCTTGTCCAGACTCACTAGAGGCAGGAGGAGGGTGGGGTTTGGTACTTGACCTTGAATCTAGCTGTGCTCTGTTTTGAAGCTTATGTCTGAGGACCTGCTACAGTCCTGGCATTGACCATTGAGTTTCCTGTTTTGGGGGGAAGGGTCAGAGAACATGAGAGAAAAAGGAAATGTTGGTCTTCTGGAAACATGAGCTAGTGTTGATGGCCATGCCACCACTTACTTGTCCCCTTGCTTACTAGCCTGAGGGCCAACTGTGCTTTGGAGGTTTGCCACGCAAGTTGACCTGAATGAGTTTTGCAACTAGGCCTCCAAAAGTATGCAAGCTCTTGTTGGCTGCATCCCAAAGCATGGACCTTGACTGAGGGAGGTGACAGAACTTTACACTGCTCGCTGCTGGCTGTACCCACAGAGCTGCTGTCCTGGCTCCAGGCCAACCACACTCACACTGCCTTGTTACAGACCTGGAGGAGCAAACTCAGGTCCTGTGCACCTGTCATCTTCCATGAACGTGGGGAGGAAAACAGTGCCCAGCCTCAATGTTCTTCTGAGAACTGGGCCAGCAGGAGGCTGGAGGTTAAGGCACTGTATCTCACATGTCTGACTCCATGGTTTGAGTCCTGGACCTCACTGGTTTGAAAAACATACTGGACACATGTGTATGTGCCCCAAATCTCTAGGGGAAAATAGAAAAGGGACTGTGGGTGTGGCCATCACCCCTGTGGGCAATTTCTCACTTTCCCTCTTGTTTGCTCCCTTTCCCTCTCTCTCTCTGTCTCTTTCCAGTGAATGTGCATGTCCTATGGTAAAAATCTAAAAAGAGAAAAAACGTTCTCATGGGAGCTAAGTACTACCATACACCTGTGGGTGCTCGGTCCTGAGCTGCCACTCCTAAGTGACCACACGTGGCTAGTGAGAGGCACTGGGAGTTAAGTGAGTGGGCTAGTGAGACTGATAGAGTGTGTGCCGAGAGGATGGACAGGTGTTGTGGTTCAGCCTGGGAGAGAACTTGGGTGGTGTAGGAGCACCCTGAAGGGCCTGGAAAGAAGAAGGGGCAGGGAAGGCAGTGGTTGCCTCTGGCAGTCTGCACCAGCATTCTCCCGACACCTCGGCAGCTCCTTCTGATGCTCAGAGGCCCTGAGAAGCATGTTCCCATCATATAGTAGGGAAGCCAGGTCAGGTCACTCAGCTAGAAAATCACGACTGCGGAGTGGCCAGCGGGCCCCAGAGTGCTTAGCTATGACTAGTTGGTGTGTATTTTTGTCTTAGCAACAGCGAGAAACTGGTGATGACTGTTTATAGTCTATAGAGTGTGTCAGTCATGGTTTCATTGGTCTTCACGTGAATTCTAGAAGATAGACAGACAGACTGACAGAGAGATTGATGGATGGTGGTTGAACTGTAGACAGATACGTTCCCCTCTTTTCAAAGGTGCAGAAACTGAGGTCAGAGAGGTCAAATCACTTAATAAGGACACATTGGCCAGTGGACGGGCTCGATCGCTGCCCTGTGACGCTGAATTCAGTGCTCCCTCCCCTGGGGAAGGCCCTCGACAGACAGTGCTGCCCCCTGCCATGGCTGTCCCATCGTCCCATCTTTCCTGAGGGAAAAGATCACTGGCCTTGGCATGGGGACGGAGTGCCTGGGGCCCACATGCTGGACTCCCCAGAACAATGACACTACAACCTGAGGCAACTTTTTCCTGTGGCATTAAATGGCCTCATATTTAAAGAAGCCATGTTACACTGAGTGGTAGCATGAGAAGGAGTGTCACAGAGATATGAGCCCAGGACAGTGTGCTGGGAGGGCAGCCAGGGCCAGGCTTCCAGGTTGGCCCCATGCACTCGATGAGAGTTGTAGCAGGTGAATCCCCAACACCAAGCCTCTGTTTCCACACCTGTAGAATGGGTATGCTGATGGTCCTTATGGCACCTCCTTCGTGGGGCAAAGACCTCCTGAGGCAATCTGGGTTTGAGCACCTGGGTTAGCACTGTTGAGTAGGTCCTCGGTCAAAGTTCGCTGTTGGCGAGGGTCTTCGTGTAGAACCACCTGTGTGCCAGGGCCTGTCATACATGGAGTGAGAAGTCAGAGTCAAGACCCTGATGGGGTGTGAGTCACCCGGCCCCTCACATCCACCGTGGCTCAGAGCTGGCACCGCTCCCGGCTTGGGCATAATATTCTAATATAAATACAGGAGGGTCAGCTTGGGCTCAAACTCCAGCTCTGTTGCCCTGTGGCTGTGTGATCTCAGACAAGCACTTTCACATCTCCCAGCGTGAATAATAATAGTTTTCCAGCTTGCTAGAGCTGGTGGGGACTGAATGTAGATACGCAGGACCGTGCCTAGCCCTTCGTGAGAGCTCTAGCTGGGTGCTGCTGAGACGGGGTCTCAGTCACATACTAGCCAATGGAAAGGCATCACCAGGAACACAACACTCTTCTGGAATGAACCACATGCCAGAGGTGGGGTGCTGGAAGACCGCATGGTGCTGGGGTGGCTCCAGTCTGCAGTGGGTTAT